CCCGGCTGCTCCGTCTTGGTGTAAAGGCTGTTCCTCTTCTCGCACTGGTCACCCCTGGGGAGCACGGCACGAGGATGTCAGCGGGGCCGGGGGGATGTTCCAGCCCGCACCCAGCCCCAGGCACGGCACCAGCGCCCACCACCCCAGTGCGGGATGGGGGAGCACCCCCTCCTCACCCACCCCCTCCCTGTGCCCGTACTTGGGGTAGGTGGAGGTGACTTCCAGGTTCCCATCTGCGGTGGTGGAGATGACCGTGGTGCACATCTTCATCAGGTGCTTCTTCTCCTTGAACCAGTTGGAGTTGGAGGCCAGGCCGATGCTGTACCATCTCCCCGTGATCTGCACACAACCTCCGCTCAGTTGCCCGTTGGGCACAGACCCCGTCTCGCGCCCCGGCCGCCCGCCAGCCCCAGCCCAGGCCGCCTCCCCCCCGCCAGCCTGCGCCCCGTGGCAGGACGGCGTCCTGGGGTCCTCATCCCCCAGGTTGCTGCTACAGCTCTCAGCGTCCACAAAACCCAGCAGCCAGGAGAGCCCTGGTTTACGACGTGCCCTTCACTGCCACTTCACTCGGGGTGTTTCTTTCTCTTTGCCCCAAGCCTGGGGAGGGGGTGACAGGACCGCCTGGCTCTGAGATGCCATTTGTATCTGTCCGGGGACACGTCAGGACCCTGGGGCCAGTGTGGCTCATCCCAGCCTGGTCCCTGGGGCCACCGGCTCAGTGCACCCGGAGGGGAGCTGTCAGCCTTGGAGATGGGCTGTGCTGGGACCGCCCTGCCACCTGGGACCTGCCACCTGCCCTGGGACCGCACGGCCACCCCCACCCTTGCAGGATGTGCCTCCATCCCCGTCACCTACCTGGGGGGGCCGTGTTCCCAAGGACCCCTCCGGGGGCTCCCTGCAGGAGCAGGCAGCGTGGCCCCTGCCTCGGCTCGGTGGGACCCCAGGGCTGTGGGGCCAGGACCCCAGCGTGCAGCTGGGCTGGGGCTGTCCTGCACCAGGGGGAGGAAGAGGGGTGCAAGCACCCCGAGCGTGCCAGCACCCAGGAGCTGGGAGGGCAGAGGGGCGCGTGGGATCCCCCAGCACAGCAGCCCTTGGGTTTTTGGGACCCTGGGTTGGGGGTGGATGGGGTCTGTGTTGGGGAGGGGGGGTCCACGGCCCATCTCTGTGCTGCCTGTGAAGCTGAGCTTGCTTTTCTCAGTGCCCCCCATAAAACCCCTGTGCATCTACACCCACCCCATGGCACAGGAGGAAGCCTGGCCCCACACCTACTCGGTCCTGCCCCACAGGCTGGAGCCTGGATCCTGCGTTCCCTCCAGAGCCACCGAACCCAGGCCCCGGGGGCTGCCCAGGGACGGGGGGCTGCAGATGCACCGGCTGCCCTGCCCCTCCTGCTGCTGGGGCCATCCTGGCCCCAAATCCACCTGCAGCACCATCTCCGCACATTTCCAGGGCAAGGATCCCCCAAAACACCCCAAACCCCCATGCAGGTGATGCCAGCCAGGCTGGGTCACCTTGTCCTGCTGGAAGTCAGGTTGCACGGGAACGCCGTCCTGCGCGTGCAGTGCCCCGAGCAGGGCCAGCCCCAGGATGCCCAGCAGCGTGGCGTGCATGTCTCCCACCGAGCCGAGCCGAGCCGAGCTGAGCCGAGCCGAGCCGAGCGAGAGGAGCAGGCAGAGCGCTGCAGTGCCGGAGAGCCAGGCAAGCCCCTATTTATGGGCAGGCTGTGCGGTGGCCCCAGGGGGGCCAGCCCTGCCTCCCCCCCATGCCGTTATGCAAGCAAGAGCAGGGGCGAGCGCCGAAGCCAAAGGGCAGGCGGGGGAACCTGCAAATGTTTCCCTCCTGTTGATATGACATGTTTGCTCCGGGGTGCCAAACTGCTCCACAGCAAAAATACAGCTCGCAGCCAGCGCGGCGGCTGTCCCAGCCCCCAGCGCCGCAGAGCCCGGGGCCGGTGGGGGCAGCTGGGGCTGCCCGCAGGCACGGGCAGGGGGCCAGGACCCCGGGCCAGGGCTTGCTGGCTGCCCCGTTCCTGCGGGATGGCCTCGCTCAGACTCGGAGAGGGGCCCAAGCGAGGTGGAGGGAACGTCAAGTGCCTGCCAGGTCCTGATCCAACCCATGGGACTCGTGGGCACCTTTGGGTGCTCCTGCGGGACCCCCCACCGGGCCCTGACCCAAGTCCCTGCAGCACCCAAGGAAGCATCTGGGCCGGCCCCGCCACCCGTCGGGGTGCATCCCACCAAGGTGCAGCTCCAGTGCACCCCAATGGCGAGCTGGGGGGCTGGGGGTGTCGGGGGGGAGCCAGACCCCAGCCTCGGGCAGCCCCAGTGCCCAGCTCCCTGCGGACCAGCACGCAGCCAGACGGGCCCCCAGTGCTTCACCCCCCCCCCATGCCACCCTGCACCCATTGCCAAGAGGGGCTGGGAGACGTCCTCCCCCTTGGGTGGGGGTCACCGGCAGGCACTGAGCTGCCCCCCCTTAATTTGGGGACACCCTGAGCACCCACAGGGTGAGGGCTGGGGATGAACGCCGGGTGTCAGCAGCAGCACCCATGGGTCTGGCGCGGTTTGGGCAGGGCTGGCCATGCCGGGCCGAACATCAGCTCCGGCGGCTCTCCCCGCGGCACAGCCCTGCCAAGGCGCTTTATGTAAGGAGTGTGTTTTCACAACAGCTGGTTTTATTCCTCTGGCAGCCCACCCTGCCCGCCCGCCCCGGCACATTCCCTTCCCTGCGCCCAGCTGCGTGTCCGGCCTGCCCCTGCTCACCACGCGCCAGGGGCCGAGCCGGCCCCAGCTCCGCGGATTTATTAAAACAAAACAAAAGCTGAGCCAGGCAGGAGCGAGCATCAGGAGAGCCCGGCTGGGGCCCCCCTACACGCTGGGCTGGGGGCTCAGCCCCTGTCTGAGCCCGCCCTTGGGATGCAGGGTGCCAGGAGGAGCTCTCTTCATCGGGCATGAGAGGCACGGAGCACCCATGGGTGTCACTATAGCCCTGGGCTGGGGCAGGGACACAAACCCCCCCGGCTGCCTGGGTGTCCCCGGCTCTGCCCTGCCTGGGCAGCAGGAGGGTGCTCAGGAGATGCCCGCTCTCCCAGCTCTCCTGGGGGTGGCAAAGCTGGGGGCCAGCCCAAGGAGCTGGGTGGCAAAGCCGGGTGCGAGCTCAGGAGCGTGGGACACGTGGGGGCACACGGGGGCAGCGGTGGCAGCGTGGGGCAGGCTGAGCCCGTTGCCAGGGCTGGGGGGTGCGGGCAGGAGGGAGGTACCCGGGCTGCGGATCACCGCCACGCCTGGACACAGACCCTTAGGCACAGCCCCGGCGTTTGCACCCCAGAAATGGGTTCACGGCAGGTAAACGCGGACTGGGCTGAGCCGGGGTGCAGGGTGCAGGGGGGTCCTTGGGGACCAGCCCAGCTCCCCGGGGCGGGAGGGCAGGGCTCTCCCCTCGCCTCCCATCGCCCTGCCACGGCTCCACTGCAGTGCAGCCACTTCTGGGGTGCAGGTGGGTGCAGGGCAGAAAGCCAGCCGGCTCCATAACACCCCGACTCTGCCAGGCTCAACCGGGCGGCCTGGGGGGGGTCTGCGAGCGTGGCCGGACACAACTGCCCCGCACGTGGGCAGCGGGGACGGGGGCTGGCTTCGGGCGAGTCACGTGGCGGTCCCTTACATAAGTCCCTGATAAACAACATGTGTTACCAGTTTCCGCAAAGATTGCAAAATGCCGGCGCTGTGGGCAGAGGGCTGCTCCCCACCCCGGGGGCCGCGGGGTGGCCGGGGAATTGGCACCACTTGCCCAAAACACCCCGGCCCAAGCGCGTGGCGGGACAGCCCCGGCCAGGCTGGGTGCGCAGGGGCGAGGGGTCCGGCGGCGTTACCCTGGGGGCTGCAGCCCCTCTGCCCTGGTTGCACCCCCAGTCCAAGCCCCTGCAGCCCCCCAGCATGCTCAGAGCATGCAAGGACGTCCCCTGCCCGGCTCTCCCATGGGGTGCTGGCCGTGCAGGCAGGCTTTGGGCAGCCCTCACAGGCAGCAGCCCCTGGGGGAACACAGTCCGCAGGGCTGGGAAAGGGGACCGGGGTGTTTCACTGCCTCCGAGGCCCTGGGGGCCAGCAGGAACACTGCGGGGCCAAGGTTTCCTCCTCTGGCGTCCCTGAGGGATCTCTTGGCTTGTCCCAGGGGAAGGGCTGATCCTGTGCCGGTCCCAAGCTCGTGCAGCCCCACGGCAGCAGGCACGGTGCTTTTCCCCACACCGTGCTGGGCGCTCAGGGTTTTCTCTCACTCGCCAGCCAGACTCACGTGCACTACAGCACCTGAGAGTAAACTGGGAACTGCCCTGACTCCTGCCTCAGTGTCCCATGGCTGGGGCGAGGACAAGGGGGGTGTGTGGAGGGGGCTGCACAGCCCCCCAGCACCCCCCGGGCCGGGAGCACAGTGCCAGGGCACCAGCAGAACCGGGGCAGAGGCAGCGCTGGCCTTGCTGGGGCAGATCGAGGGGTGACTTGCCTGGACACAGACCCTTCTCCGAGGCGTTTATTGGGGTGTCGCTGGTGCTACGGGGCATGGAGGCGCAGAGCAGAGGGGTGACACAAAGCTGCGGGGGACAGGACGAGGACAGGCACAGCTGCCAGTGCAGCTGGAGGAGCAGGGGAGCCCCGGGGATGGCCCCAGGGCTGTGGAGCTGCAGCAGGGTCTGACCAGACCCCAGCTTGGTCCTGCGTGGCCGCGGGCAGCTGGATGAGGCGAGGGCTGAGCTCTGGGGACCTCCTGGCAACGCCGTCTGCACCTACGGCTTCGTTTCTGG